GGGACACTGACCCGCGACAGGGACAGGGACAGCGAGCCCGAGAGGGGACAGGGACAGGGACACTGACCCGGGACAGGGACACTGACCCGGGACAGGGACAGGGACAGCGAGCCCGAGAGGGGACAGGGACAGGGACACTGACCCGGGACAGGGACAGGGACAGCGAGCCCGAGAGGGGACAGGGACAGGGACACTGACCCGGGACAGGGACACTGACCCGGGACAGGGACAGCGACCCTGACCCGGGACAGGGACACTGACCCGGGACAGGGACAGCGAGCCCGAGAGGGGACAGGGACAGCGACCCTGACCCGGGACAGGGACAGCGACCCTGACCTAGGACAGGGACAGCGAGCCCGAGAGGGGACAGGGACAGGGACACTGACCCGTGACAGGGACCCCGCCCCTGACCCGGGACAGGGACACCGTCGCCACCGCGGGGTGGCACCGCCGTGGTGGCTCCCGGTTGTTCCCAGTGGCCCCTGGTGGCCCCTGGTGGCCCTTGGTGGCCCTGGTGTGGCCTAGCTCGCCCCAAGTCCCGCACGGCTGCAATTAAAGGGTTGGATCTTGGCGGGGAGAGAGTGGCACTGAGGGGACACGGGGGACATTGGGGACATTGGGACATTGGGACATTGGGGACACTGGGGACACTGGGGACACTGGGGACATTGGGGACACTGGGGACATTGGGGACATTGGGACACTGTGGGGACACTGGGGACATTGGGGACAATCTGGGGACATTGGGGACATTGGGGACATTGGGACACTGTGGGGACACTGGGGTCACTGTAGGGTCACTGGGGACACCATGGGGACACTGTGGGGACAGCACCTGGGACACTGTGGGACAATGGGGACACTGAGGACACCATGGGGACACTGTGAGGATGCCTTGGGGACACCTTGGGACATCGTGGGGATGCTTTGAGGACACCATGGGGACACCATAGGGATGCCTTGGGGACACCATGGGGACAATCTGGGGACACCATGGAGGCACCATGGGGGCATCATGGGGACATGCTGGGGACAATCTGGGGACACCATGGAGACACCATGGGGACAATCTGAGGACACCATGGGGACATTCTGGGGACACCATGGGGACATTCTGGGGACACCATGGGGATAATCTGAGGACACCATGGGGACATTCTGGGGACACCATGGGGACACCATGGGGACATTCTGGGGACACCATGGGGACACCATGGGGACATTCTGGGGACACCATGGAGGCACCATGGGGTTGCTATGGGGACACCATGGGGGACATCGTGGGGACACCATGGGGACACTATGGGGATGCCTTGGGAACACCTTGGGGACAATTTGAGGACACCATGGGGACATTCTGGGGACAATCTGAGGACACCATGGGAACATTCTGGGAACATTCTGGGAATGTCTTGGGGACACCATGGGGACATGTGGGGACAACTCTGGGGTTGCTGTGGGGACACCATGGAGACACCATGGGGACACCATGGGGACACGGTGGGGATGCCTTGAGGACACCATGGTGACACCCTGGGGACGCGGTGGCTGCTCCTCCTGCCCGGTGGCCGCCGGGATTTAATCCCTTCCCAAATCCCGTTGTTTTCGTAATCCCGGAGCAAATCCGCGCCCGGCGGCGGCGCTGGGAGGTGACAGCGACATCCCCGGTGTCCCCACCCCCAGGTGACATCCCCAGCCACGGGGACACGCCCGGGGGTGGCTCTGGGGACCGTCCCTGTGCCAGAGTGGCTTCTTAGGGAAAACATGGAATTTCCGCAAGATGTGGGAATCGGGGACAAGCCGGGCCCTGGTGTCCCCTCCCGTCGGGACAAGCCGGGCCCTGGTGTCCCCTCCCGTGGGGACAAGCCGGCTGTGATGTCACCGTGGTGGTGACAAGGACATCGCCGGGGCTCTGGGGACCGCTGGGAACGTGGATCCCAGATTTCTGGGAATGCGGATCCCGGGATTTTAAGCGTTCCAGCAGCTGGAGCAGCGGGGGTGGCATTGTCCCCTGTGTCCCTCACGTGTCCCCTGACCCCGCTGTCCCCCCACATTCCCGGGGGACAATCTCGGGATGGGAACTGGCTCCGTTTGCCGCGTCCCGATGGGATGGGAACGTTCCCTGTCCCCGTGGGAAGGGACACGGAGCTTGGGATGGGGACAGGAAGGACACGGGGAATGG